TTTGCAAGACCCTGATATGTCCCTTCCAGGACATCAATAAATCTGACCTTGTCTCACACTCTCTTGTCAATCTACATAAATAACGCTCGCTAATGTTATTGGGAAATGCATGCATAAAAAGAACAAGACACACAACCGCTCATCCCCTGCCACGTATGTTCTGGGCAACAGTTCAGACATGATTCTGACCTCATGTACACTGACGTAAATCAGGAATAATTCCACTGAAATCAATGGATTTAAACCAGTCCCCCAAACAGTGTGAGATCAAGAGCAGCCTTAACTGTGAATTTCTTGGTGTATGGCAAAACCTTATAAAGCTTTACTCACTTACTTAGTGTCAATGAAACAATAGATCTACTCTTGAGCATAAGGATGCAGATCAGGCCCTAAATCCAGGAAATATGGGGTGGGGAGACACAACAATAAGAAACTGGGTTGTTTTGAGGCACTGTATATATATAATTTTAGAAGAATTAATTTAAGATGGGAAAATAAAAAGGAGAGAGAGAGAGAGAGAAATGTGCATGTTTTCCCTAAAACAAAATGAATCATGAGCTATAATTGCCCTTTTAAGAGTGGTGAGTTTTTCTTGTTCTCCAAAAAACTTGTTCCAGCACTAGAATGATTACAGTCCCAGCTTCTCTCTCATCCAATCACAGAATAGATCAGGAAGCACAGGAACATAGGGCTTTAATTTACAAGGGATCATCTACATTTCTTCTAGAAGAACACAAAACCAAATAATAAGCCTGCATGCTCAATATATATTGAGTTTAGTTTAAACTGCTCTATAAACATTATTGACCAGAAAAATTGTTGTGGGTACTGTGATGAAGAGACTTTCTATAGTGCACTTTGAATGTGCTTATCATTTCTTCTTGTGCCTCCTTTAATATGAGATGTAAAAAGGGTCTAACTTCCAGGAGAGCTCCTAAGAGACTGATATTTATTCCTGTCCCAAGTTACATGATATGGATCAGGATTAGAAAAGCTATCACATGGTAGGTTTTTCTCCTCAAATTAAGTGTAGATAAAACACAATTTCCACCAAAACTGACAACCACAAACTAATAACAAAATATATAAATAGAGATATCTGGGGATAGATTTCAGGGCTGGATGACCTGAACCCTCTGACAGAAAAGAGGATTGTTCTGCATCTTTGATAACTACTGCCTCTGAGCCTAAATGGTTTTCTGGTCACATGGCTTCATGTTCTCAGAACGACTCTTTATGCAGTGGCCTGTTTGGCTGCTGGGCAGGCAATCACATGGGCCTCATGTTCCCTGTTCCTGATGTTTTTCATTGCCAATGACTGTGTGGGTTTGTGCTATTTCTGTCAGTACAGAAGCACTGACAGTAGCATTCTGGATCTCCCAAGAAACAGACTGCCAGGGTCCAACTTAGGTTTTTTTATATGTCTTTTTTTTCTCCTATAGGAATGACCCTCAGACATTGTCATGACATATGTTCTTCATGCAGGTGGCCATTACCTTGGGGGGTGGCTAGACACTTTCTGTTTGAAATCTCTCACACTTTTGCAATGGCTGCGTCTGTCTGGGATTCTTGTAAGAGTATATTTTCTTTTACAGTTTTCAGGCACATAAATCTTTTGGTACCTACCTCGGGGTTAACTGTCTTGGGCTCAAGAAGTTTGTTATATGTAGATTAAGGGTTTTGTTTTTCTACCTGTCAGTCTCTGAAATCTTAGCCCTAATAAAACACTGAGGTGTGTTGTGATGATCCTACAGTGATAGCTGTGGAATCCTCGAATCAGCTACATTTTATTTTATCACATTTTTGCTATTTGTACTGACTTTTATCCTAACACATGTGACTAAAAATAGTAAGGGCTTGACGTGATGTGCTAAAACAAATATGTCAAGGAGAACTGCCACAATAAGGCACTCGTGAACTGTGGCTCACAATCAGTTATTAGCTTACTTAGAATCCCATGGTGAGCCAAATGAGGTTTATAGTCTATAAGTTGATATTTGATGCAGATTTCCTATTTGGACATTTTAACTTCAGTGGACATGTTTATTCTGGTCCAAAACAGGACATCTATTGTTACGACAAGATAGTCAGCGAAGGTATGTCTACACTGCAATAAAACCCCTTGGCACCAAGTCTCAGGGCTTGGGTCAGCTGACTCAGGCTTGGGCTGCAGGGCTAAAAACCTTCAGGCTAGAGCTCGGGCTTTGAGACCTTCCCCACCTCGTAGGAGTTTCCAACTCCCTTTCATGGTCCCACAGGAATGTGTTATAGCCCTCCAATGCCCATGGCCTGCCACATGAAGCAGAGTGGTGGTTTTCACGCTTTCCTATTTCTCTGTAATGTCACTTGCTTCCAGAAAAATTTGAAAGCATGCAATCACTTCCTCCAGTTCTCTACCACATTTTCTTCCAGACCAAAGGATTCGGATGGCTTCATTTGCCCCATTTTTGCCAAAGATTCTTTTTCTTCTGACACTGTATAATAAAAGTGTGATAAACAGTGCCTCGGTGTACAAATTGAAGATGGCACAATATACTGCAAGGCCTCAAAATTTTAGGGCAGGAGTTCTCGAAATGGGGATTGGAACCCCTCAGGGGGTCGTGAAGTTATTACATGGAGGGCCATGAGCTGTCAGCCTCCACCCCAAACCCCGCTTTGCCTCCAGCATTTATAATGGTGTTAAATATATAAAAAAGTGTTTTTAATTTATAAGGGAGGGGGTTGCACTCAGAGTCTTGCTATGTGAAAGGGGTCACCAGTACAAAAGTTTGAGAACCACTGGTTTAAGGAAAGAAAAAGGGCTGTCCAACATGTCAGAGCACTGGACTGGGAGTCAGGACTTCTGTTCCTGACTCTGCCACTGACTTTGGGCACACAGTAATGATGGTAAGAAATGTATCTTTGTGTGATTTTGGGACAGTCAGTCAAACATGGGAATTTGAATTTCCACAGTGTAGAGGTGTTCTTGGATCCAGATACTCCATGTTTGTAAAACACTTTGAGATTATAGGAGCCTAGTTTATTATTACTATTATTGAATTTCAGTGAGTAAAGTACATTTCCCATCTAGCTTTTACCAGTTTTTTTCTTTTAATAAATTGAGTATGCATTTTGAAAGAGCCAACATGACTTCCTCTGGCTGTGAGCACATGTAGCTTAGAAATATAGGAGGAAATGGCTATCCTTGGTAATAACTGTATGCACATTCACTCAACAAAACATGCAATCTACAGAAGTAGTGTATATTTTAGAAAAACCTGTCCCAAGGTATTTGTAAGTAAGGTGGCTTTAATCTTACACTGACCTAAACTAACTGTCTGCTAGGCAAGAAAAAACTGTTGTAATTATTACTTTTATATTTTAGGTTATTATAGTTCATTTATCCTAGAATGTAAAAGTAACTCAACATTGATATGATAAATGCCCTTTGATACTTATTTTTATTTTTCAACCTTCAGAACACCACCAGTATATAGTCAGTGTAACTATCAGGGACCCTAATTTCAAAGGGTTGTTCCTCATTTTTGTGCCAAAAAAACTGTTACACTAAACAAATTATGGCAATACAAGTCTTACAAAGATGTTCAGTTACTATTCACAGTTTTTAATTTACTTTACTCTCCATTCTCTGCAATTGCCTTTTGGAAGCCTGACAATTATATTGTCATCCCCCCAATCCCTTTCTCCCCCACCCCTATGATTGTGCCCTGAGGCAAATATTGATTCCCACTCCCCAAAATCCCTGCTGCGTTTTGAATGGAGCTGGAAGTAAGAGAGTTGTCTTTCTTTAAAGGGACACTGTCAAGACTGATGGACCCAAAATGTAACATATATTAACCAATTCAATGTTTTGTGCTGTATTGATTATGGGGAATCTATCAATTCTTTCTAAAAAATGTCTGTAACATTCCTAAAATCCTAACTTTTCAGGAGAGAGCTACTTTTAGCTCTGCTGGCACAAACTGTCTTTCCATCCTGCTTTTTTGGTGTTGGTTTTTTGTCTGTTTTTCCATTCCTTTGAAGATGCAGGGTATCACAACATGCACAAATCTTCACAAGGAGAGAACAGGCAAGCAGAGAAGAGGGACAACACAAATGCCTATTATAACAAAACTTGGTAAGTCCAGCCTTCCCCTTTGACAGATCTGTTAAAACAGCAAATGGATAGTTTTAAAGCATATTTCAAAGTTTCTGTGTTGCAGGCTGATGTTTTTCTCATCACTTTCTGAAGACAGTGGTCAAATTAATCTTTGACATCTATGAACTCATACCAGAGAGGAAGTTGAGGCTTCATATTTTTGAGGGTTCCACACAAAATGGCTGTTTTAGGGTTTGGGGATTTGTTTGGTGTGTGTTGCTAGGAAGAGGTTATTTGGTTTACATTTAGAGTTTTACTTATGTACTTCACTGGCATAGTGTGTCAATTTAAAGTTTTCAAAGTGTTAAGACAATGCAAGCTTAGCACTATTATATTTACCAGAATCCAAAGAATCTCTTGCATCAGGTTACAATCTTTAAGTTTTTATTGTAAAACTATGGAACAAATGTGTTTCCTAAATTGCAAACACTAAACTTTAACTTAGAAACATCTGTTCTGATCCTAGCCTTGACTCACCCTCTTTCATTAGTGTGAACTGCAGAGTTTTTAACCATAAAAATGAAAAGCAATTGTCTGCCCTATTCTATTCATTATGCTCTCACAGCATATGGGGCTATTCTCCTCCCAAGCCTTCCTCTTTTTCCTTTAAAGCAAAACCCATCAAGCCTGGCCTCCTTCACAGTGACCCCCCTCCAACCGCGAGCCCCCGCCTCTGCTCCCTTTGTGCCTTGGACAGGCTGAAAAGCGGCGCTTGGGCGACCCAACCTCCTTCTGCGCCTGGCAGCTGAGTGAGATGTTGAGAGACGGTCCCTTCCGCAGGCAACTCAGGCGTCGGTTTCAAGGCTCCTCCCTTCTGGCGAACGGCAGACTGCGGGGCGCCTGGAAACCGGTCCGAGGGAGAGAGGCGAGGGGGAGCGCACTTGAGGGATTGACACAAATGGTCAGGCGGCGGCGGCGGCGGAGGCTGGAGCTGCCGCGGGGAGCCGCGCGCCGCCTCTCGCCACTCGGCTCTGCGGGGCAGTGAGGAGCGCTGGCGGGGCCGGGAGCGGGGCAGTTTCGGGGTGTCCCCCTCCCGCCGCCCTGCCCCCCTTCATGAGTCTCAAGTTTGATGCGGGCGCAGCAGAGGCAGCAGGCGGCGGCGGGAGCCCGGCTGGGGCGGCAGCGGCGCCGAGGCAGGGGCCGGCGAAGTATGGCTGAGCAGCGGGCACCCCCGGGGGCGTCCGGGCACGGCCGGGAAGTTCGCGGCGGGGAGACGGCGGCGGGCGGCAGGAAGAGGAGCGGCAGCGGCAGCGGCAGCCGCCCCGGCTGGTGTCTCGGGCTCCTGCTGCTGCTGTGGGCGGAGGCTCCGGTGCTGCCCGCCCGGGGCCAGCCCCAGCAGTACAACGGCGAGCGGGGCATCTCCATCCCGGACCACGGCTACTGCCAGCCCATCTCCATCCCGCTGTGCACCGACATCGCCTACAACCAGACCATCATGCCCAACCTGCTGGGCCACACCAACCAGGAGGACGCCGGGCTGGAGGTGCACCAGTTCTACCCGCTCGTCAAGGTGCAGTGCTCGGCCGAGCTCAAGTTCTTCCTGTGCTCCATGTACGCGCCCGTGTGCACGGTGCTGGAGCAGGCGCTGCCGCCCTGCCGCTCCCTGTGCGAGCGGGCGCGCCTGGGCTGCGAGGCGCTCATGAACAAGTTCGGCTTCCAGTGGCCCGACACGCTGCGCTGCGAGAAGTTCCCGGTGCACGGCGCCGGCGAGCTGTGCGTGGGGCAGAACACCTCCGAGCGCGGCACCCCCACGCCCTCGCTGCTGCCCGAGCTCTGGACCAGCCACCCCCAGCAGCGCGGCGCGGGGCCGGCGGGCGGCGAGCGGGGCGGCCGCTTCGCCTGCCCGCGGGCGCTCAAGGTGCCCGCCTACCTCAACTACCGCTTCCTCGGGGAGAAGGACTGCGGCGCCCCCTGCGAGCCCGGCCGCCTCTACGGGCTCATGTACTTCGGGCCCGAGGAGCTGCGCTTCTCCCGCACCTGGATCGGCATCTGGTCGGTGCTGTGCTGCGCCTCCACCCTCTTCACCGTGCTCACCTACCTGGTGGACATGAAGCGCTTCAGCTACCCGGAGCGGCCCATCATCTTCCTGTCCGGCTGCTACACCGCCGTGGCCGTGGCCTACATCGCCGGCTTCCTGCTGGAGGAGCGGGTGGTCTGCAACGAGCGCTTCGCCGAGGACGGCGCCCGCACGGTGGCGCAGGGCACCAAGCGGGAGGGCTGCACCATCCTCTTCATGATGCTCTACTTCTTCGGCATGGCCAGCTCCATCTGGTGGGTCATCCTCTCCCTCACGTGGTTCCTGGCCGCCGGCATGAAGTGGGGCCACGAGGCCATCGAGGCCAACTCGCAGTACTTCCACCTGGCTGCCTGGGCCGTGCCCGCCATCAAGACCATCACCATCCTGGCCCTGGGGCAGGTGGACGGCGACGTGCTCAGCGGCGTCTGCTTCGTGGGCATCAACAACGTGGATGCCCTGCGGGGCTTCGTGCTGGCCCCTTTGTTCGTCTACCTATTCATCGGCACCTCCTTCCTGCTGGCCGGCTTCGTCTCCCTCTTCAGGATCAGGACCATCATGAAGCACGATGGCACCAAGACAGAGAAGCTGGAGAAGCTGATGGTGAGGATAGGGGTCTTCAGTGTCCTCTACACGGTGCCTGCCACCATAGTCATCGCCTGCTATTTTTATGAGCAAGCCTTTAGGGAACAGTGGGAAAGCAGCTGGGTCGCCCAGAGCTGTAAGAGCTATGCCATCCCTTGCCCCAATAACCACAACAGCTACCACCATCCACCCATGAGCCCTGACTTTACTGTCTTCATGATCAAATATCTCATGACCTTAATTGTGGGTATCACCTCGGGCTTCTGGATCTGGTCGGGGAAAACACTCAATTCCTGGAGGAAGTTCTATACCAGGCTCACCAACAGCAAGCAAGGGGAAACCACAGTGTGAAACCCAGCTCAGCTAGGCCGAAGGACACCCACCATCCCAACCAGAGAGGGCAGGTGAGGGACCAAACTCCATTGTGTGCCCACAGTCGCAATCAGGGAAGGGGGGAGAGGCTGCTGCACATCCACTCTTGGCAAACTTTTCAGACTGCTAGCCGTTTCTCCAGCCTGCAGGGAAGTGAGAATAACGAGGCAGGTGGGGAAACTCCTAAGATGGGACAGGCTTTGCCTCCTGTTGGGACTGAACATTATGTATGGTTGGGGGAGAGGGTTGTAAATAGCCTGTGTAAGATTTGTAAGTATATTTGTATTTGTAAATTACAAAGATCTCTCACCTTTTTTATTTTTAGGACATTTTAACTCATTTGCAGATGTTCCCCACGGTTTTTAATTGGCTTTGGATTTTATTTTTCATTTTAGTACAGGATGGAAAAATAAAAGCAACTAAAACAAACCACTCCTTTCATCCCAGCACAGGTTTTTTAATGGTTTTGCTTGGAGTTCAGTTGCACGAACAGCATGGCCTGGATTGAGGCTGCTGTAACTCCCTAAGGTTCCTCCTGACACAGGCTGGGTCCTGATCCCAGCCAGCCTACAAGATGAGTGGGAATGGGGAGGGGCACAGACACCTGACTTGATCCCTGCCCCATATACCTGATGCATAATGGAGGAGTCTTGCTGCCTGCATCCTGAGGGGATGGGGGGAGCAAGCGGCTTTACCTCACTTCTGTGAGCTCCGCCATAGATGGTGGAGAGGAAGATGGTCTGACCCTTGCTGCCCAATACCAGACATGTCTAGTCCTTGCCATATATACCCAAGGAGATCTTATCCCAGCTACCCAACCATTGAGGGAACAATCTCCTGAGCCCTGCGCAGAGGTGTCTGATCAGGGCAGAGCAGCAGACTAAACCTGTCAACACTTAGCACTGGGTGGGGGGACGGACTGCCTTCTGTTTTTTTAAATTTAACTGTACCATGTGTTTGTTTTGTCAGTGGTCAGGAGTGGAGGTCTAATATCAGCCGCACCTATAGTATGTTTGATGGCTTAAGAGAGATAAGAGAGCATAGATAGCAACCTTTCCTTTTAACCTGTTTAATAAACTTATTTCTTTTTCTAATGGAAACCCAAGAGGTGATTGATCTGGCTAACCTTTCATCAGAAATGGGGTTATTGGCTGTTGCTGTCCCAAAAGTTTCACAGTGTGTGGAGGGAAGGAAGACTGAGGATAGTTATAAATGTTAATTTGTGTGTGCTCAGTTTCTTGGCTATCTGCTTCCTTGATGGGTCAGCTTGTGTGTGATATAACATTGTTTCTTCTGTCAATGAAACTGTTGAGGGAGAACGACCTGGAAGGTTGTGTTGAGGTACTTGATATTTACTTAGATTAATAGACTGCTCAATATAAACAGGGTCAGAAAATATGAGTTTAGTAAAAAGAGATTAGTTGGAATGACATGCAGTACTCAGCTTTTTTATTAAATCTATAAATTGACTTTTCAATCTGGAAATATTGAAAACATTAAAATGCTCCTGTATTAAAATGCTCCATTATGTACAAATTGTGAGGGAGGGATGATTTATTCCACTATTAAAACAACAACAACAACAACCAAGAAACAAAATAATCTGATGGGATATGAGGCTTTAAGGAAACTCTGATGTCCTTTCTAGTACCATAATTACGTTGCATACTGTGAAGCATGTGTGCAATATGTCTGCTATCTTTAAAAAATGTATGCTCCTGTTTTTTTTAAGAGGTTTAAACAAGACACATCAAATGTAACTCTTCACAGATGCATTTTAATATTTAGTCCTCTGTATGAAAAAAACAGAATGCTTCTCTCTCCTGATTGTATTTTTTAAAAGTTTTTATATAACAAGCGTCTGTATTTAGGTTCATAAATGTTATCTCTGGCTACCATATCCTGAAATGCAATGGTATTTGAATTTGGTATTCATTTATTTCTTTCATTATCACAAGATCATCTATATTTATAGAGGAATAGAAATTTATATATATTAAATACCATATTTTTAATTTCTCTTAAATAAATTGAGGTTTTGTACAAAATGATCTTGTCCTTTTACATATGCCTCACAGTAACTCAATATATGCTGTATTCATTATTTTCATATATTACAAGGTTTGGGTGTTGTTTTGTTTGTTTTTTAACTGCGTTCACAGTACAAGCTAGAATTCAGTGTAGGAATGCATTATGCAGCTTCTTTTTTATGTCTAGGACAGTCCAGATTAATCCTTCAAAAGAACTAATGTATACTGTTCAAGATCCTGGATAGGATATGGTTGATGGTGTGAAATCCAAGAAGAGATCTGCTATATGGCAAGAGAAGAAAGAAGCTTGCAGATTTCTTTATTTTTGGCAAAGGAGAGATTAAGTTGGAAAAACCCTTCTATATTTGCTATTAAAAAATTAGCCAGTTTCTCACTGCCAGAATCACATTCAAGCTGTGTTTATAAAATATAAACAATTGTCTTCCTCAGAATATTTTCGTATGCAGCCCTTTTTGTTTTCTTGGAATCTTGACTGTTTAGTTAAACCAGAGCTGTAAAATATGTACATGAAAATATTTCCATTCCGGTTTTTGAAGAACTACATACATTCTAAGCTTTTTTCCAAAACATTTTTGTTATCTTCCAAAGTGCCTTTTTAGAGGTTTGGTTTTGGTAGGCATACTTGAATAATTGAGATTTTTGTTTCTGACGCTTTCCACTGTTATAAGGTAGCACTGTGTTTCATTATACAGAATTGTAGAGGATATAAATTGTTTATAAAAAAGATCAGGCAAAAATTAACATGCAATACGAAGGAAGCAAGACTGAGAAATTAGAGGCAAAAATCTGCCCTCATAGACATGAGAGCAGAATTTAACCATAGGGCTTTTTATTGTAGCATAAATGTACTGTCCATTTTCTTAAATATTGTCTTTTTTAAAAAAATTCTCTGTTCTAGCAGTTACAGTAGTACTGCTCAGCGTTCAGCTCCAATGGTCTAAAGCACAAACCATTCAGCTTCATTTGAAGTGCAGGTCCTTTATGGTCAGGTGAATAATTACAACAATAGAGATATTTTGACCAGTTACCTTGAAACCGAATATTTGTTTATTCATTTATGCATTGCAGAAAGTGCGTTAGGGTTATAACAATTTTTGTATTTAATAATGGAAATGTCATTTCTATACAAAGTAACATTTTGCTAGTCTACACAGTTCGGGTCTGCACACTTTATAATTTGTGCTTCCAAGATTTAAATATAGGGAATTTCACATTGCTCAGTCTTCTTTATTTTTACAGAATAGACTACAGTATATCATAAAATTAAATTGTTGCAGCAAGCTCCATCTTATTTGTGCATCATTCTTGTTTTTGTTGTTTGTTCATTTGCATGCTAATTTGCAAAATTCAATAATTTCCATAAGTCATTAGTGGGTGTTATCATAATGCACAACTTTCTTCTTGCATTTTTCTTTGGCATACTTTTATTTGTCTACATATTTCAAATGCACCTATCGTGGTTTTTAGGACTTTTTGTAAAAGTCAAGTCTAAGTAGATTAAACAAATATGAAGGTGCCTTCTTTTGGGCATATTAAAATAATTTATGCTTCACCATAGTAAAATACTCCAAACATATCCAGTGTTCCATAGCTCAAGGGTATTTAGATAGACATAGGATTTCTGACAACGCTATGTATAATTGGTATGCCATATTTATGAGTAGACTGTATTGTAGTATAAAAAGAAACAATGTTGCAAAATTCTACTTTGTGTCTCATAAAGAAGATAATATAACAAAAGCTTTGATATGGCAAAGTTTGACTGAGAGACTAAAGAATATTGGTAAAAGGCATTCTTTAATCAAATGCTATGCTCTTTCATTTAGAATGCCACTGATCTAAAATGAGCAGGCATATATAAATAAACATGTTTCTCTAGCTATTCTCTATAGAGGGCAATATCGTGATAGCATGGAGAACTGGGGATGCTGAACTAGAGTTCATCCTTCTGTAACAGTCGCACTATTTGTAAAGTAGCATGCTTGCACTGTAGTTTCCGTAACAAATCCTATTTTTTCAGGGCTTTTAACTTGTTCACATAAATTATCCACAAAACTGCCAATTTACAAGAATATTTTAAAAAGCTATTTTTTAAAAACTGAAATGCTGCATTCTAATAGACCTACATTCTAACTTAACATGGGGGGTGCATTTCTGTATATCTCTAGCTCAATAGCTGTTATCATGTACAAGTGCAGTTAAAGATTCTTTCCATGTAAATGGTGAAGAGAATCCTCACAAACTTAGTTTATAGTGTGACCTTTTCACTTGGAAACTGAGGTAAGGCTGTTATTTCATCCTCCATTCACCCTCTAGTGCCCAGACAATATAATTGCAATATTCTTGGTGGCTATCACCTAGCGTGCTAAGATCTCTGCAGTACCTAAACAGGCCCATGTAACAACATAATTCAGCCTCGACTATGAATATCCTGTTTTTAAAGATCCAGTTAGATTTGTACTATTTATTACTTGTACCATAATGAGATCCAGCAACTTCAGATCAAGGAAGGACCTTTTGTGGTGAGCACTCTTCAAACATAGAAAAGCATGGGCTCTGCTACAAGGAGATCACAGTCTTAAAGCCTCTATCCTGCAAGCACTTATGTACATTAGATCCTGTGACTTCTGTCTTCTGCTATGTTGGTACTGGCATGCAACACCCCTAATCTTAAATCTATCAGACATACAGGTCACCAGCTGAGTTTGCAAGATATGCAATAATCCACACAAAAGAGGGAAGGACAGAGTTCTTTCTGCCTCAAACATTGAATCATCTGATGCCCTCAATATGTTTACAGTGCCAAAGAGTGATGAGAGTAACACATTTTCTCTGTGTATATATATCTTCCTACTGTATTTTCCACTGCATGCATCCGATGAAGTGGGTTTTAGCCCACAAAAGCTTATGCCCAAATATATTTGTTAGTCTCTAAGATGCCACAAGTACCCCACATTTTCTAAAGTTCAGCAGTTTTAGCATGTTAATGTTTTTAAAATGAGTAAAGAGATAAAGGAAACAAAGCTTGGTGACTTAATAAGTGGAGGCATGGTTAATCAAAGATCTTATTAAAATGGCGCTAACAATTTATGAAGTCAGGGGGAGTTTAGGGTGGTTAGCACTTCAAGAGACTGGGGCCTTGATGTTTATATTGTGCACAAAATGCTTTGGGGTTAGCCCAATAACTATCAAATCAAGCTGGATAAATTGACAAGAGTGTCCTGGAAGTAAACAAAGAAAAAAATCAACACTTAATTTCATGCAACTATAAACTGAAATTTACACTGTACATTTACTTAAAGCTGTGTCAGTTGGTGAGGTAATGTTAAATCTTCTTTAAAAGCTATCAAGTTATAAGTTAGGTGGCAAAATACTTGTATGGTTATTAGTAAGCAAGATTTGTATGTTACAAGTAAAGATCTCAATAAACTAGTAAAAAAACAGGCTTTAATATAATAAGGTAATAATTCACAAAGAAAAAGAAAAAGCAACATTTTGATCATTTCATTATAGCCAATATTTTTAATTCTACAATAGAAAAACATTACCGTTTTGTAATCCATGAACATCTCCCTGTTTCAGACCTCCCCATATGTTTAAATTAATTTTCCAGTGCAACCACAGCAAGGCTTCTCCCACAGACCAGGGCTTGCCCCTGTTTTCATTCAAATCAGCTGTACGAGTAAATAAACTGTAGTCTTGTACTCTGGTCAGACAGCCCTTTTGAGGACCCACATGCACACACCAACATCACATACAGAGAAGCAATGCCATTTTATGACGATTCAGTCATCAGTGAGGCTTGCACTCAAAAAACCCATAATATGTGCATTTAGTTACCATCCTCTAATCAGATGGTTTTTTTCCCAAAATACTTTAAGGGTTTGGTTGCAATAAGAGGAAGTGAACAACATAATAGTGTAACTGCTATTGCGATTTCCCTTTGTGTATGTTTGTCATAATCATTACAATATAATTTAAAAATTATCTTTGCATATGAAGAGAATTAATATAGAAAAACTCCCATTGCCAACTAGCAAGAAAGATATTTCATGGTGGAAGACCTAAAATAACTTCTATGGCAATTTAATCAATCTGATGGTCCTAACAGTGGAACTAAAATTAACTGTCTACAGGAAATAGTTATATTGATGATGATGAACTGCAATGGCAAATAAGACTGTATCTCCTTCTTATTTTAATAGTATCACAAATCATGTGAGCTTTGCTCATGCTACCATGATGTTGTCAGTATCTCTTGGTGTGACCGAGAACAGTCTGTGGGTTTTTTCCAGCTTTAGTACAGTTTTATTAAAATAAGCCATACTTATACAATGCAAATTTTAGAAAAGGATATAATTTTATTGAAGGTTTTGCTGATGACAAAGTCAGAAGATGAACTCAAGTAGCCGAAATCCCTAAGCCTGGTAGATCTTTATATTTTGTTATTACATATTTCTTGCTTTTAAAATAGCACATACAGTTGGGCTGTTGTACTTTATAACTGTTTACATGCTAAATTGCATGCCTTATATGTTAGTCACAATATCATCTTAGTGAGACTAATATAGTAGTGAGGCTAATATAACTGAGCGGTAACAACACCCCACTGACTTTTTATGTTGGTTTGTTCATAAGAATGAGCATTGTTGTTTTGTTACAAGTTATTACTTATTTACCTCCACTAATGTGCATGGTGCTGTAGAAACCTAAAAGACAGTTTAATATCCTAGAGTTTACAGTCTAGTTTAGACAGACAAGACCAGATCTATCCTCCCTGACACCTTCCACATAATGGATTTATTGAGTGCTGCTGCATTCTGGGGAATGGAGGACTGACACCTTCCCCAGAGGTGATATTTACATTCCTCTGAGAGCTCCATGAGTGTCCTACAGGTAGAAGCTATACTGGGGATATACTGAATTAGCACATTTCCCTGGCTGCTTTAGTGACACACTGTTTTTTCTCCTCTCACCTAGGTTGGAGGGCTGTTTTGGCTGCTTGCAAGCCCTGCATTCCATAGAGGACATTTGCAGGACATTTGTACCACCACAACATCCTTAGCAGATTTTCTGCTGCCTGGAGCCTAAATTCTGCTATTAGATATACCTAGGCAACCCCCATTTTGACTACATTGGAGGTCGCACTAGTGTAGCTAATGGTAGAATATGGCCCTTGTAATCCATCAGGAGGTGGAGTAATTTGGCAGTGTTCATGAAAAGCCATAGAGGGAAAGTGAGTTGTGGAGAAGGGAAACTGTTTGCCACCTCCAGTCGAACCAGGATGAAAGATAAGTGACTTTTGCTCTAAAAATTAAATTGTTTGACAGCTCCTGTCACTCATGTCATCTGATTTTAAAAAATACCTTCCAGAAAGAGCTGATCTTGCATTAATACTAATCAGTGTAGTATGAACAAATAGGGACTAGCCACTTGCTCAAACATAAATAGTACTAGGTATTACTGATAAAGCAGCTCTCTGTAGCTGATTTGAGATTAAGAAGAAAAGTCAATGTATCCCTATAAAATTGTGTCCTTGGGAAACATGGGAGTATTTGGTCTATAAAGCGACAAAGGCCCAGATCCTCTAAGATATTTAGCAGCCTAACTCCCATTAAAATCAATGGGCCTGTTGCACTGCCATTGAAATCAATGGGAATTAGGCTCCTAACTATCTTTGGGGATCTGGGCCAAAGTGACTATGGGTTGGCTTTTCAAAAGTGCCTAAGTGATTTGTGAGCAAAATCCCATTGAAAGTCACTGCGCCTTGTGTTCCTAAATTGATGGGGTGGTTTGAAAATCCTACCCTGCTTTCCTTTCAAGGTAAACTGAACTGCATTTCTACTAACTACAGTGAATTGTCAAAGATCCTATGTACTTTGGTAGATGTAAATTTTCAAACAAATACAATATAAAAACATATTTGAAAATAATTCCTCTTTGACTTACCTGCAAGGATCTGTGTTCAGGGATCTGTATTTCTCCCACAGGAACAGATCAGGTCTATAAGCCCTCTTGAGAAATA